CAATATTGAAATTATCGAACAATGAAAATTTTCAAAAATGACACTACTGAGACAGTTTTTGCTTCACAGCGCCGTTAATTTTCATCCAATTTCAATGTACTTAAGCTTCAATTAAAGCCAATTAAATTATCCACAAACTTATTAATTAAAATTTTAATTTGGTTTCAACAGTTTTACAGTTTAAAAATTGAAATCTATTGTTTAAGATTTCAATTTGGGCTAGACAGTTTTACACCTGAGAACCTTCAAAATTGAATTTATTGAACATTTAAAATTTTCCAGAAATGACACTGAGACAGTTTTTGCCTCACAGCGCCGTTAATTTTCATCTAATTTCAATATAATTAGGCTCTCACTAAAACCAATAAAATTATCTACAAACCTATTAATTAAGATTTCAATTTGGTTTCAACAGTTTTACAGTTTAAAAATTGAAATTATCGAACATTGGAAATTTTCCAAAAATGACACTGAGACAGTTTTTGCCCTACAGCTCCGTTAATTTTCATCCAATTTCCATGAACATTGAAAATTTTCCAAAAATTACACTGAGACAGTTTCTTCCTCACAGCACCTTATATTTTTATCCAATTGCAATGTAATTAAGCTCTAATTTAAGCCAATTAAGTTTTCTACAAACCTATCATTCAAGATTTTAATTTGGGTTCAACAGTTTTACACCTGAGAAGTTTCAAAATTGAATTTATTGAACAGTTTTTGCCTCACAGCTCTGTTAATTTTCATCCAATTACAACATAATTGAGCTCTAATTAAAGCCAATTAAAGTCTCTACAAACCTGTTACTTTAGATTTGGGTTCTCATTTTTTTTTTATTCAGAGAAATTGAGAAGGAAATAAAACTTCAAGACCCTGGAATAGAGAAAAAGAATGCGAAAATTGAGACGTAAGATTTCAAAGTATAGAAATGAAAAAGATATTGTTTTTTATTTAGAGAGGAAAGAATCATAGGCTCTAAACTAGACAACAATGTAAACGAACTTGAGAATTTTCTTTTGTATTTCAGGTTCTTGAATGTCTGTCGAATTTTCTTCAGAAACAGAAGTTTAGGACACTAGAATAGACAGAAATTGAGACGGAGCAGAGGAAAAGGAAAAAATTAGTAAAATTGTTCAGAGTTGATACATTTTTTTTATTTAAGGCTCTCGAATTCCCTACAGTTTTGAAAAAAAAATCCCGAATTTCACTAAAATTTAATAATAGAGAGAGGAAATTAAAGAAAAATTGAAAGATAGGTAACTTATTTTTTCTATTACCAGGCTTTTGAATTTTTCAATTATTCAATGTCTAACAGCCGTATACAACATCCTCTTTTAACTTAAAAGCGCTTTCAAAAACTTGTAACTTTTAAAAAATTCTTCTTCTTCTGTAATCTATACAAATTTTTGAAATTCACAGTTTTCAAAGTTGCATACAGCAGTAAATCTCACAATTCCAAAAAAAGTATATTATTTACTGATTATTATAGTAGCTTAAATATAAATTTGGATACGTTATTTGAATTTAAATAAATACATCTACTACTGTCATTTATTGTAAAATAGTTTGTTAATTGAATAATTGAATCTTCTTTGACCCAGGATCTTCAATATTATTTATTTAGCAAAATTTCAAGAAAAGTTGGAAAATTGATAAAGGAAATTCGAGAAGGAATTCAGATGAAAATAAAAATTCAAGAACCTGGGATTAGACAAAAACTGAAATTAAGAAAAGTTCTGTTTCAAAAACAGAGTGAAGTAAAAGAAAACCTCTAGAATACAGGCTTTAATAAACTTAAGAAGCATTTACATTCACTTCCAACTCCAAGTTAAATTTGACTTTTGCTATTTTATCATTTACATTGCAGAACAAAAACGTCAAGTCAAAACGTCAGAATTTTATGAGAATCATGATTAATAATCTAAAAATTTGACATTACACAAATTTCTGCTTGCCTTCGGCAAGCAGCTGACCCAAATTTGAGTGCACTTCGAAGTGAACTTCAAATTTATTTCAATTTAAATGAAGCTGTGCTGCCGCCATATGGCAAGCATGTCAATTTCAAGATAAATTGGACTTCGAAGTAAATGTAAATGCACCATTAGAATATTACTATACAGAGCATATAACTAATTAACAAACTGTCAAGGTTAACAAATGATTAAGGTAACAATATATAGAATACAGGACATTTTAAAAGTTTCTAAATATATAACATTCACCCCTAGTCGGTTTTATAATCTTTCAAATAGACAGGAGGCGTTTTGGTCGGTTCAAGGAATAGTCAGTTATATTTTCTACAACTTCATTAGCCTAGATTCCTTAATGGTGTTACAGGTATCCCATCAAGATTTCCAGCATCAGAATCGTTGTAATTGAGTTGTTGAATGGGATCTGGTTCACTACATTAGGTTCGTTTCTATATGTTCTACATTCTACATGCATATCTTCATTCTACGTTTCTTGATACAGAGCAGAATCTTCTTTTGGCGCAAGATGGCGTGTTGACACAGTTGTTTCTTTACCATTAGCTTATCTGATATGAGCATAATCAGAGTTAGCTTCTAGGAGTTGCACTTCTTCCACGATCGGTTCATACTTGCTTTGTCTTACATGCTTCTTTAGGAAGACTGGACCAGGAATACTCAACCAAGTTGGAATTGAAGAACCATTTGTAGATCTCCGAGGATGACAGAACATTCTTTCATGCGGTGATCAATTTGTTGCTGTACATAACAAAGACATTATTGAATGTAAAGAGTCGACCAGTACCTGCTGCCAATATCTTTTATCCATGTTTCTTGATTTTAGAGCTAATTGAATGGTTTTCCATGTTATACCATTATACCGTTCACACGGCCCGTTTCCTTGCGGGTTATTAGGAGTAGTGCGACTATAGTTGCAATCCCATGTCATGTTAAAAATGTTTTCAATTCTTCAGGCATAAATGATGTCCCTCTATCACTATGCAGGTACGATGGTGTCCCAAAAACAGAAAAAAGTTGAATCAAGCAATTTATAATAGTTGATGAGGTCATGTCAGAACAAGCAAAGCCGAATGGGAATTTAGAAAATTCATCCACAATAGTCAAAATATAGCGGTTTTGGTTCTCAGATGGCAATGGACCTTTAAAATCTACATTTATTCTTTCGATAGGAACAGTAACTTTTATGATGGTCCCTTGATTTCTATGAAACCTTGGGACAGGTGGCTGAAATTCTCTCGATATCGTCTAGTGAGAAAAGTAGATTCTTACATCGGACCCAGTGATAGTCTTGTTATACCAGAATGACAGAGAATTATGTACATTATACAATGTTTTGTCACTAGAAGAAGGTAAAATCGCAGAAGATATTCTTGAAAATGTATCTGCCACGATATCTTGTTTTCCAGATCTGTATATGATATCATATTTATAAAATGATAGTTCCAGACTTAAACTGTTCCAGACGCCAACGCATTATTTTTTAATTTTTGATTTTAGAATTACTTAATGAATTAAACATATAAGCGACCGATTTCTGGTTAGTTACGAGCTTAAAGTAACGTCCGATCAGAAAATGTCTCCATTTACGAAGTGCTTCCACTATAGCATAGGCTTTTTTTTCTACGGAAGAATGTCGCTGTTCCGATTTCGTCAATGTTCTAGAGAAAAACGCCACTGGTTTTCCAGACTGTATAAATTGAGTAGCAATAGCATATTCCGATGCGTCAGTTTCAACAGTAAAAATGGCTTCATCGTCAATGGAAATAACAACAGCGTTTTGTATATCAGTCTTCAACTGTTCAAATGCAGCAGCTCCACAAGCAGACAATGGGAGCTTTTTAACTCGAATCAGTGGATGTATTTTCTCACAAAACATGAATGAATTTGGAATAATGGGCAAATATGCCTTGAACTGTCCTGAGCGAAGCAGTATTAGTAGGTAGTGGCAACTGAATCAGTGGTTTAAGTCTGTCTATATCTGCCCTAGTATAGTAATTTTAGTCATGCCAAACTTGCATTTCTCTTTGTTAAGCGTCAGATTATATTACTTAACAACTTCTAAAAATCGTTTAAGATTTGTATCATGATGCTCTTTATTTTTACCACAGATGGTTACGTCGTCAAGAAATGCATATGTGTTTTCTAAATGTTCTTGTTTGATAATGTTATTCATATTTCTCTGAAAACAAGCAACGCCATTAGTCACTCCAAAAGGAATTCGAGTGAATTGGTATAGATTTCCACATGCTTCAAAGGCAGTGTATACATATACATTTATGCTCTAGAATTGGTATCTGGTGATATACACTATGAAGATCTATCGAACTGAAATATTCATACTGAGAAATTTGATTGACCATTTCTTCAATCCTGAGTAACGGGTATGCATCCAAATGTGTATATCTATTTATGGTCAATGAGGAGTCTATAAACATTCGCTTCTTATGATTGGTCACTAGCACCTGGGCTCTCCACGGGGAAATGCTTCGCTCGATTATTTTCTCTTTTAAAAGTCTTTGCACTTCAGCTTCAATGAATTTTAAATCAACTGTGGAGTATTTGCAAGTTTTAATTGCAATATAGGCATTTTGGTGCCACGAGGTAAAAACTGACAAGTCACATAAAATTCTCATATTGGTTACTAATTTGAAATTAAGTGACTGCTAACATGGAGAGATTGATTACCAAAACCTTTTACATTACGTATTTTAACTGTTCCTTATTGTAAAACAATGAGCTTAAATATGTAAAATATAATCTTGTTCTAATTAAATGAACTTTAAAAGGCAATAATTTTAAATTGGTTCAATAAAATGGTAACCTGGAATTTAAATAAATAGCTTTATTATTATTTAAACTAATACTTATACGCATAAATATCTCAAGGTTTATATATTTTTGTGCATTTTTCTTAATTTATATACGTTACAGGGTCGGATTTGTGATTTGTAACCCAATAGAATCCGGCCCTGAATATTTTTTTAACATATTTCAATATTTATTAATATAAATTACCTTGTCTACTGGTAACAAATTGAGGTTATTTCTAGGATAAACGTCGACTTGTAGGACCTCGTCGCCGATTTTTAGGTTTTCAGGCACCCTGACGAACCTCAGGTATTCTCCCGGCGGATAGAATTGACAGCCTGGAATTAGAAAATAAATCGTTAATGATATGTTGCCACTTTATTCAGTGTTCGATCTACTTTGAACATGCCCGCGGGCAAGGTGAAAAAGAAAAAGGAAACGCAATTACACATTGCATATCCGGCAATACCTATGGCGAGTAAAACTGATTCTTGTGCAACTTTCGCTTGCGATTGTTTGTTGTCCGTGTATAAGTGCTTTATATTTCCCAAAAATAAATAAGTAATTACTGGACTAAAATTGAATGTCTATGATTATAAAATAACATCTCGCGCAGTGACGGTAATTTCCTTATTTCCTCACGTTGAATTGTTGGGCAATTTAATTGGAATCTTAATGATAATTTCATTCATTCATTGTTGACCTCAAAATAGAAAATACATGAACAGATTTTGAGAAAAATATAAGAACATTATGATAATGCCTATGCAATTTTCTCAAAAATTTATTTTAAACTAATAAGGAAATGAAGGATGAAGGCAAGAAGAATATTTTTTTTCCATTAAGTTCTCAATTTTCAAATTTCCTTAAAACACCTTGTTGAGAACTGCAGGTGTTGTATAATGCTTTCATGCAGGAATACCCTGACTTGAGGCATATGAGTAAGGTTGCTGATTTACCAATTGATTTACACAGTCTATCGTCAAGGGAAAGGGCCCAATATTTACTATTTGCCGCATCATCCAGTAATTCAGTGTTTAAACAGACTTCCAACTGTGACAACGGTGTTTTCTTGAACAGTCTCTTACTAAATGGGTCCAAGTTACAAGATAACGTATTTGACATACTTCTTCGTTTTAGGCAACATGCTATTGTGATTACTAGATGTGGAAAAGATGTTAAGGCAGGTCTGGATAGCGCATGAGGATAGGGATTTTCAGAGGATTTTGTGGAGACTTGATCCCAACGAGATCGAGTCTACGCCACTGGTATTTTCCTGTTTCTGACTATTCCCTCAACCTTTCCATGTTAGTATGAATTCAATCCTAATATGTATGTACAGTTATTGAATATTCATAAAGTTTCCTATGTATGTAACTCATTATTTGTCCCTAAAAAATTGGTAGCATTATCAGAGTATAAGCATATTATCACATAGCCCTCTGCGCGCAATAAACCTCTTGAAACAATTAAGAAACGACATTCTCGTCAAGTCCTCTACCAACTCTAAATGTACCGCGTCTCTCGAAACAAACAAATACACCTATATATGCCTTTGTTATTACAGGTTTTCTACCTTTACTGGCTTTAATCAATAATGTTCCTAAAAAATCTACTCCACAGTTCGAGAATGGCCTACACGGAGTTATCCTAAACATGGGTAATTTCACCATAAATGGTGTTTTGGGCCGAGGTTTTACGCGATTGCACACACTGCAGCCCTTTAGTTTGCTTCGAATAATTTGGCGACCTGATATTGGCCAATACTGAAAGCGAATTCATGGTAGCAGGGCACAAGGCCCCGCATGAAGATGCTTGTAGTATTCATGTAGAATAATTATCCTTGTTAACCGATGTTTATTCGGCAATATTACAAAAAATCTTTGATCGTAACTTAAGTTAGCTTCTGCCAATCTGCCTCCTACCCTCAGTCAATCCCTTTCATCCTTCTGATTGGTGAAGCCTATCAAAATTCAAAAATCTGTCCAATATCTCCAAAGATCTAGAAACTGCAAATAACTTACGAATAACTCATTGCTCAGGAATGACATCGAAATTGAACTTATCATCCCTTGACCAATATTCTTCATTCTTTGATAACCAGTCTGGTCCCAGCGACCATAACCTGGTCTCCCTTAGATTTTCCCGATTCAACCTCCCGGACACCACATCCGCAGAATTATCATTGGTGTACATGACCCCAATGTTGACCCTCAGTTAAGCCTCATTCATAAACTTCACCGTTCGTCGCTGCCGTTTCCGTTCTAACTCAACAAATGCATAATCAGTGTCTGCATTCGTATTCAATGTTCCCGTTCCCGTTCGTCGTTTCTCTTGGGAACGGAACCGTTCCACCTTGGTAAACTTTTAACTCCACCGTTCGTCGTTCCTGCAGTAGCCAATCAAATTAGACAATTTTGGTCATGTGATTCAAGATGAATATTTTGGGTTATGTATGTGTATGATGTGTTTTTGTCATTGAGCTTGTATAAAAACTATTTATTTTATAGAGAACAGAGTGAAGAACACACGAGACTATCTATATCAGGATACGACAAGAAAATGTATTCAGTTTGTCAGCGGGAACAGCAGCGGTTTAGAGTTTAAAGATACTCATAGTAACGAACGGGAACGGTGCCAACGAACAGTGACGGAGAGTTTATGAATCAAGCTTTGTTTGAATTTCCGCTGTCCTGTTGGCCACAAATGTCGTCCAATTTGAAGGTTCGCCAGCTAACCAATGAACGAGTCACACCAATACCTAACTTCAGCACCCTTAAACTCAGTTAACTGCAAAAAACGATTTTGTGTGTGTTGTTATTGTTGTTGAGAGAAGCAACCCTTGATTTTGAAGAGAGCAATTGGACATCGCATATTCCCAGTAACAGAACGAACAAAAAAGTAAGCTCCGTAATCTTTCTGCGAAGCAGCACAGAATCGATGGAGCTGAACATTTTCAGGACTCTTGTATAAACCATGTCGCTTGATTTAAAATGTCCCCATCCTTTTAATTTTTTCCCTCAACTGAATCCATTGACCTAAAATATTCTCCAGAACCTCTTCGTCCCATACCAATTTATTTTTCCATAACTCCTGCAGAACTTACTTAGCCCTGACAATCATTGGGGTATAAGCTCCAATGGTTCAGAAATCTGTGATATCAAGGACAATATAAGAATCTTAGTTATATTTTGTTCAGCATCATTACCATATTCAGGACAGTCATAGTGCAATGTATCAGTCATGGAGTTCCAGCGAATGCCCAAAGTTTTTGAAACTTTGTTTTCTCTACTCTATATCTCGACCCTGATCATCTCCAATAACCCCCTGATTGTTAGAATTCCACTTCCTTAAAAAAAAACCTCCCTTGGCAAGTAGCTGACTAATATCCGTTTTTAACTGTCTCACCATTTCAATGTCCTCAGTCCCTGTCAACAAGTCGTCCAAATAAAAATCCTTGAGAACAACGCTGGCAGCACGAGAAAAGTCCGTGGATGAAAACATTGCGAGCTATTGCATACATTTTACAGCTAAATAACCCGAACAAGTCATGCCATTACATAGGAAACTGTATGATTGAGGGGGTAGTCAGAAACAGGAAAATACCAGTGGTATACACTCGATCGACCTACGAATGGAGAACCGTAGGAAAATATACAAAGCTGTATGATTATTCAAAGACTGTACATACAAGATTTGATAAGGTTTTCCCAGAATTCAAGAAATCAGTCAGCATTTTCAGTATATTTTTGTCAGTTATCCATAAAATCGCATTTTATTCCGCCACGGTCACTGTGATGGTAGTAATACAGGTACTGTCGAATACCAGATATAAAACATGGTGTCAGGTTATTAAGTGCTTTTGGTGCTAGTTTGTTGAATGTTGTTACAAGTCAGTGAAAAGTTCGCTAGTGAACTGTTGTTACGTTGTTAGTAAAAAAGTTACCTAACCTAGAAACATGGAGAGTTTATTTCGGCTCCCGGAGCCCCTTGTTACTGATGGCAATTATAGCTGATAATTGGAAAAGATTTGTTCAAAAATTTGATGTTTTCTTGACGGCGTCTGGACTGGATAAAAAGCCGGAGGAAACTAAAGTGGCCGTTTTCCTAAATCTTGTAGGAGATGATGGGCTCGAGTTGTTTAATAGTTTTACATTTACTGAGCAGGAACTAAAATCGAAAAAAATTCAGGAATACTGCTCGCCTCAAGAAAATGTGATTTTTGAGCCTATCAAATTCAGCAGTATTGGCCAAAAAGATGATCAAACTTCTGATAGTTTCTTAAGAGAATTGAGAAAAGCAGTAAAAACTACAGGATACTCTCAGCCAGATGAAATGATTGACCCTGTGATCATGGGTATTTTTGATAAAAATACTCAAGAAAGGCTCTTGAGAGAGTCCAAGCTAACTTTAACCAAAGCAATTGATTTTTGCAGAGCCACTCAGGTTAGCAAAACACAGACCAAGATTTTGCAGAATGAATCACAGATTAATGCAATCAAAACTAGGAAGTATAGCTTCGAAAACAGTAGGAAAAGTAGTACCGCTAATAGTTCAAGTGGTAGCTCAAGTCATGACCAAAGTTTGTGCAAATTTTGCGGCTATAAACACAAACTAAATGTTAGCCATTTCGTGTCCTTAGTTTGAATGATGGTGGATTTCGTGGGTTATAGGACGGGACAAACAAGAAACTACCAGATGTGTGGCAACGTTTCGGTTTTCGGTTAAAACCGAAACGTTGCCACACATCTGGTAGTTTCTTGTTTGTCCCGTCCTATAACCCACGAAATCCACCATCATACAAACTAAATGGTAAATGCCCGGAACATGGGAAAACATGTGCAGCTTGCCAAGGAAAAAACCATTTTGCAGTAATGTGTCCTGGTGACGGTTCTAGTAAGCCACACAAAAAATCCAACGAGAGACAGTCATGGAGGAAGCGGACATGAGAAAGAGCACACAACAGAAGGAGGAAGTAGTGACAGCTCTAGTGGAAGTGAGTCTTTCTACGTGGACTCACTGTGTCCAGTCAGTTCTATGAAGTCTCGAAAAATTGATTGATTGAAGGTGATCAGTGACTGCGACAGCAGAGACAATCAAACTGAGATGGAGAATGACTGGAGATAAGTTGTGCAGATCGAGAACAAAAATTAGGTAAAATTTAAGCTTGACACTGGGGCTGAGGTAAGTGTTTTGAGTCTACATGTTCTCAAAGAGTTAAAAGTTAGTTCTCTTTTAAAGCCAACCAAAGTAACCCTTGTGTCATATAGTTGTAGTAGTTTCAGGAAAAAACCTCGGGGTGAAGTTAGTTTGTCTTGCGAAGTCAACAACTGTTGAG